CTCCTGTACAAATTTCCTCCTCTATGGAAGAAGTGATTGGACAATCTTCGAAGTGTGCGCTTCTGAGTGTGATTTGCACGCTCTGGATATTCTCCCTTTGACAGATACTCCTTGATGTCATGGAACCAAGGCTTTCCATCTGTTTCTTCTTCAACATGAGCACAATATGCCGATTGATTATGGATCCCTACAGGAATGGGATCAATATAATTCTTGTCTGGATGCTGTATCATAGATGATAAGGTGGCCAATGCGTCGGCAAACTCATTTTGAATTCTGGGTACATGACGAAACTCTATCTTGGTGAACCTCTTTCTCAATTCCTGCACGTGGTGCAGATATGGTAATATCTTGGAATTTTTGGTGGCCCACTCTCCTTGTACCTGGTGCACAAGCAAATCTGAATCACCGATCACTAGCAGCTCCTGAATCTTCATGTCGATTGCCATGTTGAGTCCTAATATGCAGGCTTCATACTCTACCATGTTGTTAGTGCAGGGAAATCTGAGCTTAGCATATACCGGATAATGTTGACCTGTTTCTGATGCCATAACTGCCCTAATGCCCACTCCTTTGAAATTTGCAGCTCCGTCGAAAAACATACTCCAACCATCATATGCTTCAGTAATGTCTTCTCCTACGAATGACACCTCTTCATCAGGAAAATACGTTTTCAAGGGTTCGTATTCACCTCCCACCAGATTCTCAGCAAGATGATCCGCCAATGCTTGTCCTTTGACCGCCTTTTGAGTTACGTAGACGATATCGAACCCACTCAACAGTATCTGCCATTTGGCCAATTTCTTGGTCGGCATGGGTTTCTAAAATATATACTTCAGAGGGTCCCCTGGATATGAGGTATGTGGTGTAGCCACAGAAGTAATGAGTCAACTTCTGGGCCGTCCAGGTCAAAGCACAGCAAGTACGTTCCAGCAGAGAGTACCGTGCTTCGTAAGGTGTGAACTTCTTACTCAGGTAGTATATGGCCTGCTCCTTCCTCCCTGTGTCGTCATGTTGTCCCAGAACACAGCCGAAGGCTCCATCCAATATGGATAGATAGAGCAGCAAAGGTCGTCCTGGCTCTAGCGGGACCAGGATCGGTGGTGTGGATAGGTACAGCTTGATTTTGTCAAAAGCTTTCTGACAATCTTCGGTCCAGCTTGTCTCGGCATCTTTCCTTAGCATCTTGAAGATGGGTTCACATATGACTGTGGACTGTGCTATGAAGCGACTGATATAATTGAGACGCCCTAGGAAGCTCATCACGTCCTTTTTGCTCATAGGCAGCGGTAACTCCTGAATAGCCTTGACTTTTGACGGATCTAGTTCAATCCCTCGACGGCTGACAATGAACCCCAATAACTTTCCTGCGGGAACCCCGAATGCACATTTGGCGGGGTTCAGTTTCAGGTTGTACCTCCTTAGTCTGTTAAAGAACTTTCTCAAGTTTGCTATATGGTCTGCGGCCCTCTTGGATTTGATAATGACGTCGTCTACATACACCTCTGTTTCTTTGTGTATCATATCATGTAAGATGGTTGTCATGGCTCTCATGTAAGTAGCCCCGACATTCTTCAGACCGAATGGCATCATCTTGTAGCAGTATACCCCCACATGGTGTAATGAAAGCTGTTTTCTCTGCTTTTTCTTCATCCATCCAGATCTGGTGATAACCCGCGAAGCAATCTACACAGGATTGAAGTTCATGCTTGGTGCAGTTGTCGATCAGTATGTGTATATTTGGCAGTGGAAAGTCATCCTTGGGACTTGATCTGTTTAAGTCTCGATAGTCAACACACACTCTGACTTTCCCATCTTTCTTTGGAACTGGCACAACGTTGGCTAACCAAGTTGGGTACTCAACCACCCTAAGAACTTTGGCTTTGATCTGCCTGGTAACCTCCTCCTTGATTTTCAGGCTCATGTCTGGTTTGAACTTTCTGAGTTTCTGCTTCACCAGCGGACACGTTGGATTGGTAGGTAACTTGTGAGACATTATGGACGTGCTCAAACCTGTCATGTCATCATATGACCATGCGAAAATACCCTCATACTCCCTTAAGAAGCGAATGTACTCTTCCTTTTCTATTGGTGATAAGTGAATGCTGATGCGAGTCTCCTTAACGGTCTCTGCGTCCCCCAAGGTTACTGCTTCGGTTTCATCCAGATTGGACTTAGGCTTATTCTCAAAGCTTTCAACCTCCCTGACAACTTCCTCGGGTATCTCGTCTTCTTCATCCGAATCACTATCCTCATATTGCATTGCCTCATTACATGTCACAGTCACCGGTTCATCGGAAAAAGTAATAATAACGCTGTAGAAAGAAAATGTGTAGAAAATAATAATGAATAATAAAGAGCAATGCATTTGATTAAGACTGAAAAACATCCGGACAAGTACGGCTCGATGAATCGAGCGTTTATTTTGAAACAAATAAGTCTTTTGAAACAAAGTTACTGAAACTCTTAAATTCCTAGAATGGCTATAGAAATAAAATCTGCCTAGCTACCCAGGGACTCGGCGGGCCCGGGATGGTGTGGCGGTCCAGTTCCTAAGAACAGCTCCCTTCTCCACGGTCTGAATGGTGAGGCCTTCATCCTCCTCCTCCTCGATTATTCACTGCATTGTATCATTTATTCTGACTTTTCCTTTGCTTTTAGGATCACTTGAAAGAGGAGCGTGTGGAGGACCTTTAGGTATGCTGATGATACCAGTATGTGTGAACCAACCTTAGGGGATGGGAATAAAGAAGGAAAGATAAACAAGTCAGTAGGTGTTCTGGAATGTTTGCAGTATTTAAACACATATTGCGAGAATGTAAATTCGTGTCCTAATTTGGGAGCCTCGTTGTGCCCGAGGTAGGCCTAGCGACAAATATATTTGGAGAACTTTAGTGCCAAGAAATGCCTCATTTCATAATATGAAAATAGACGAATCCCAAAACGACACTAAGATAATAGAAAAGTAAGTCACTATTGGCACATGGCCTTATTACATTTAGGAAAGCAAATAAATCTAGCCTATTTGGTCCCAGAAGGACCTTCCCCAGATTCGATCTTCCTGACTCCATCATACAGGTTTCCCAACTCGCAGACCCAGCAGCAGATAGGCTCTAGCCAAATGTCCTCTCTCGCTTCCTTCAGCATCTCATTTTCTGCAAAACAAAAGGTTAGGCCTTTCTCCCCCACCAGACTGGACTATTTATACATTCATGATCAACATATCGGCATTTAGTTCTCCAAATTAATGCACAGAACGTGGTTGCGTCCGTTGGGATTATGGAAACCCCGGTGGACTTTGGATAAGGCTAATCTTAAAGGATCATTATATGGACAACATAATTGATCCGACTAGGTTTGACCATGATGCATGCACAATTTTGACCAGAGTAAGGTTACTATGGGGTTTTAGACTGGTACCCTCAAGCGGACAACTTGAGGGGGAAAGGCACGAAACCGTCAACTGCACCGCTGATTGACTATTATTACCGCAAATAAGCCTTTCCGAATTTAAGGGTAATAAATAGGAAGAGCACAACCACTCATCAAGCGTTGCTACAGGATTTGATACGCACGAGTGGAATATGATGTGGAGCATGATCTATGCAGCAATTAATAACATGTAGTCAAGTATTTGCACGTAGAAAAATAAATGCGGTATTTAAATAACTGAAAGACAGTTAAGGAAAAGAAAACAGGAGACAAGTCAGTTTTAGGAATAAAGAATCATAAATGCTTAAAAGAAAATAGACAGTTAAGTTCAAAGAAGAGGAAAGGGTATGGGATAAAGCATGCTTGGACTAATTCATAAAAATAAGTTCATTATGGTAAGAGCCTAAAGGTATCCCTAGCAGAGTCGTCATGCTGTCGCGCCCCCTTTTGTCCTCCGCGGGTTTCGACGCTCATGGGGGTAATAACTCATTTCCTTTTGGGATTTGGGTATTTGAATTTGAAGAGTCGCCACCTAACGGATTATGGTGCGTTAGGGCACCTAGAGCGATTAACTCTTAGACTAGTTTGCATTACCAGAGATTTAGGGTATGGGCTTGTCGACGCCCCCTTTTTCTCGCGAAATCGGGTTTACGACATTCGGGAAGATAACTCTATTCCCGTTTGGGAATTGGGTTTTTGGAATTTAAGAGTCGCCACCTAATGATTGAGTACATTAGGACACTAAGAAGGGTTTTGAATTGGAAAACCAGAGTTCGGGTAAGGGCTAGAAATTATTTCGAGGGGAAGGTGTTAGGCACCCCTCAAGATCCACTAGTGTGGTTCCTGGCCATGCTATGTTGTGACTTTAATGTAAACAAGTATGCAAATAAATTTACACATAAGGGTTGCTAACAAGCATGTTGGAATTTATAAACAAAGAAGGAAAAGGGATAATGCAGTACAAAAAATAAAGGGGAGTTTTGGGTAATTGAAAAGACAGAATTTATTGATAAGAAACAAACAAATCACATAACAAATAACCTCAAAACTCGAATGAACCCCAAATTTTAGGGTTTTTTACCATTAATCGAGTCTAGAGATGAAGAAAAGTAAGTCAAGCAAAAATATTAACGGAATAAGAGCAGAAATCATAAAGGAACACATATTTCCCAGTAGAAGAAACTCATGAATAACATAATAAAGAACAATCTTGCAAAAAAATACAGTAGAAGAACTCGTAAGAACAAGGTAGAAGAAATACAGTAGAAGAAGCACATTAGGATCATAGAAGAAACATAGTAGAAGAAACATAGTAGAAAAAAACATATAAGAATCACAGTAGAGCATGTTAAAAGATCAAAGAAATCCTAAATCGGGGAAGATGAAAAGGCTAAAAAAGCAAGTTTTTGAAAGAACCTTTTGAGAAAACGTTTGAGACCCCAAGATAAACACAGATCTAGGACAGATCTAGAGAAATCAGAAGAACCTCGAAAGGTTAGGGTTTTAGAAGAAACCTAGAAGTGAGAAAGGCCTGGAAAACTCGTGGATCTAAGCCGGAGAAGTTAGACTCGGGCTCGAACGTCCACGATATGCCGGAGTAAAGCCGGAGACGACCATGGAACCCTGAATCGAAGGAGATCTAGGTAGAGATCTTCAAGTTCAGGCCTTGAATCTTCAGAAAACTGGTGTATAAGAGCACCTGGGGGTGGGTGTGAGATCCCCATAGCTTTGGTGGCCATAGATTCCGGTGGATCTCTGGTCTGAGACGGCAAGAGGCGGCTAGGGTTTGAGAACCCTTGAGAGAATTTGAGAGAGCGGAGGGTTTCAGAGGCGGCGGTTGGTGAGAAATGAGGTAGGGTAAAGGGGTTGTTTGAATTAAAAAAGGAAAGGGACGAGGGAAGCCGTTGATCTAAAAGATCAACGGCTTGGATTAAATGGGCTAAATGGGGACCGGGTTTGGGTATGATAAGAAAGGGTATGGGTCGGGTTATAACAAAATTGGGTCGTTTGATTAGGGTGTGATTGGGGGTCAAATTTGGGCTAAAATTGAAATACAAAAGGGCTGTCATTTAAATAGTCAGTTTTCCCCTTTTAATTTATAAAAATAGTAAAAAATGACTTGAAAATAAATTAAAGGTACTGGACCAATTAATAACATATAAATATTAATGTAAAAATACTAAAAGTGATTTTATAATTATAGAATGCTGTTAATCGTAAAATAGACAATAATTATAATTATATGCAATTAGCTTAAAAAATATCAAATAAATGTATAAAAATATACAAAAATTACCCCAATT